TATACAAAGTAGATTGGTTGGTTATTTGTTATCGATGATGACATGATGATTGGTCACAAGAATAATCGGAAGGATTTGTAGGCCTTTATAACGTTGTTTCAATTAATATATTCTGAACCTATATTCTACTTCGCATATTTATTAAGGTTATTTGTACTAAAGGTGATTTTTCTTTTTATCCCGTTGTAGAAATGATGTATAGTTTGGCATTAGACTACTTGGTGTACATAAACAAAACAATTCCGGAAGTGAGCCAGGCCTACCTTACTTTACTGTAGGCAATTCTAACGTTTTGAACCGTATGTCGGGGGAACGAAACGATTCGATAGGTTTATCGATAAGTGGGTGTGATTGTTAAGGAATTGAGCCTAGGCCTAGTCACTGTTTATATGTTGGTAGCAGATACCTTGTGGTAGCACACTTTGGTAAATAAAATCCAAAATCCACCAATTTCATATCTTTCTTAGCTAGCCAGCATAAACGTTCTACTAAAGAAAATTCCTAGTTCTAGCGGGTCTAGTAGGCTTACTTAGGCTAGGCTAGTAGTAGTAGGCCTATGCCTAGTACTAACTAGGCCTAGGATAGGCCTCGGGCTATTACTACTAGGCCTAGCCTGTGCGCTCTAATTGAGCGCCTACAGTACTATTACTTTAGGCTAGGGCTAGGCTAGTTTAGTAGCACTGCTATCACCATAGTCCTAGTCTGGCTTACTGGTAGTAGAATTACCTACTATAGCCTACCTGAATAGGCCTAGGTCTAGACTAATAATGTAATAATATTTTATTCTTGTTTACTATTTATATTAACATTATTGTAGAGTCAACAACCAAATTTCATATTACTGTTTTGTAAATTTGAAAATAAAGATTATATTATCTTATAATCATCCACATTAATACCATATTCTCAGTCATCTATATAACATTTATCATCATCATAAACCTCATCATTGCCATTTATCAGTCTTTGCTGTCTGAAAACAAATGAACACTCAACTTCTTATTTTCACAGAGGGTTACTTTAATTCTACCTAATTACTAGTGCGTTTATGCACACACAGTTTTGAAGAAAGCAGATTTTAACTTTAGCTTTACTTTCCATACTGGATTCAGCAAGGTGTACTTATACCAAAATGGCATCTTACGGCAAGGGAGACTTTGGATCGGAGATGTATGATGCATCATACATAAATTCAGGCGGTAAGCTCATCAGTAGCGTTCAGTTATTTGAAAGTAATTAACTCGTAGAATAATGATAATTTAATAATTTGTTAATAGTTTACAGTTGGTAGTTGTATTTAATCTATCAAATATCACTTGTGCTTTTAACTTCCTATTTCAATTGTAGACTCATTAATATTTAATTGCTTCTACCTCGTCATCAACGAATTGGTGTATTGCAACAAATAAATAGTCTGAAATTTGTTATTTGTTATTCATTTTTATAGGTTATAGGTTATGTATTTTTTATTTATATTATTTTCATTTATTTAATTTTATTTAATTTTTTCCCCTTTTTGTTTACTACAGGAAGAAGTAATACATCAGATTTTAACAGACTTTCACAAGTCATTGGAAGCAATATACAGAAAATCAACACTAAAGGTAATCAAAAATTAAAATTTACTTTATTTCATTGTCGTCTTGTGCATCAGTCCCCAGGACCTCCGAAACATAGGAGCCCCGGACTTTTAGTAGCCTTTTAGGTCTCCAAGGGATCCACAGGGCCAAAACAAGGGGATCAGACCCATAGACGCTTTCCAACAAGATGCTGGAATTATATGCTAGCGGATTATCTTTAAAGTTCCATTAATAATTAATTTAATCAATATGTTAACTCTATTCATACCCAGTTCTAATATTATATATACAGTTTAGTTGAATTAATGTTCACCCAGGTTTCAATATTATAAATAATGTTCACTAATGGTTTCAAGAGATTATAAATAGCTTAAATAACATTCATGATTTCAAACAGGATTAACAGGCTAACTCATACCCATGCCAAATCGTACCCTTAAATTTGGCGAGCCTCTACCCATAATTGGCTAGCCCGTACCCAAGTTTCTGTCTCTTATACACATCCAGATGTGTATAAGAGACAGGCGTAGGCCTATACAGAGTTTTAAGAATATGGGAGCCATATGCCATGATGACATTAGTAAAAATGCTTTTTCAATGTTCAACGAAATTATAATAATTATAGTGGCGGATTCCAGAGGGGGAGGGGTCTACCCAGTCGCCTCCATTAAATTGTACAAAAGTACTTACTAAATGAAGAAAAATTGAAAATTATATTCAAATTTTAAGAATGCCATTTCCGACCATAGTAGGCCAGGGACGACATAGGCTTAATTTGAAATGCAGATACCTCCTCTCCGACCTTCAGTGATAATTATAATCATAATGAAACGTCTTCCGGTTCTGGATTGAAAATTATTTTTTGATAAAACAATTTACTATTATTTATTTATCCTTTTTATAGAGGTTAGCTTGAGACG